TCGCTGCCTCCCCGGCGGACCTCCCCTAACCCTCTCGCCTGAATCTAGCTAAAAAGCCTTAGCACAAGCTCGAACCAGACCACCCCACTCAGCCAGACCAAATAGCAAAAAAAAACTGCGTGCAAAAACTTGCATAAAAAAACTGCAATGCAAAAAAAACTGTTTTTCGGTGGTAGTGGTTGTCGCTGCCTCCCCGGACTTCCCCTAAACCACTCTCGCCTGAATCCTAAGCTAAAGCCTTAAAACCAGGCTCAAGCCAGACCAACCAGACCAGCCAGACCAGATGCAAGAAAAACAGCAATGCAAAACAATATGCAGTGCAAAAAAAAAACAGCAATGCAAAAAAAACATGCTTTTCGGTGGTAGTGGTTGTCGCTGCCTCCCCGGACCTCCCCTAAACCACTCTCGCCTGAATCCTAAACTAAAGCCTTAGCACCAAGCTCAAACCAGACCACCCAGACCAGCCAGACCAGATGAAACAAAACAAAATGCAATGCAAAAAAACTGCAATGCAAAGAAAACTGCAATGCAAAAACAAACATGTTTTTCGGTGGTAGTGGTTGTCGCTGCCTCCCCGGACCTCCCCTAAACCACTCTCGCCTGAATCCTAAGCTAAAACCTCAGCACCAGGCTCAAACCAGACCACCCAGACCAGCCAGACCAGATGCAAAAAAATGCAATGCAAACAAAAACTGCAATAACAAAAAAAAACTGCAATGCAAAAAAAAACTGTAATGCAACAAAATCTGCTTTTCGGAAGGGGTAGTGGTTGTTGCTGCCTGCCCGGACCTCCCCTAAACCACTCTCGCCTGAATCCTAAGCTAAAGCTTCAGCACCAGGCTCAAACCAGACCAACCAGACCAGCCAGACCAGCCAGACCAACCAGAGCACTCAGACCAGATGCAACTCCGACCAACTTGTTCTTTGGAAGCTTGGCGTCCCGCCGTGCGCTACACGGCTAAGAACTTTATGTTTGTGCTGTTTTCCTTCCTCGAGGAACAGAATGAGGCCACTCGGAACACGAAATTCTTCACGCGCGTGCTGGAGCCAGTGGGCTGCGGCGCACACGGCTGCACTTTGTCCTCGACCCTCGAGAGCGTCGACAAGGCAAGGCGTCGGACGCTTTCTGGCCCCCTGCCGGGCCTCCGGAGGCCTCTCGAGGGGCCTCCATGGAGACCTCTGAGGAGGCCGGGGCCCAGGGCCGCAGCGAGATGTAATTACTTTTTCACGCATTCGCTCTTCCGCGCGCTCCTCCTCCTACTCTTCTTCTTCTTCTTCCTCCTCCTCCTCCTCCTCCTCCTCCTCCTCCTTCTCCTCATCCCTCGCCTCCGTCCGCCTCCGCCTCCGCCTCCTCCTCCTCCTCCTCCTCCTCCTCCTCCTCCTCCGCCTCCTACCCTCCTCCGACTCCTCCGTCCCTCTCTCCTCTCCTCCTCACTCCTCCTCCTCGTCCTCCTACCAACTTTCCTCCTCCTCCTCCTCCTCCTCCTCCTCCTCCTCCTCCTCCATCGCCTCCTCCATCGCCTCCTCCTGCTCCTCCTCTCCTCCTCCTCTCCTCCTCTCCTCCTCCTCCTCCATCGCCTCCTCCTCCTCCTCCTCCTCCTCCTCTCCTCCTCCTCCTCCTCCTCTCCTCACTTCCTCCTCCGCCCACCCCCCCCCCCCTCCTTCCTCCTCCTCCTCCTCCTCCTCCTCCTCCTCCTCCTCCCCTCCCTCCCGCCCCCACCCCCCCCTTCTTCCTGATCCTCCGCCCCCCCCCTCCTCCTCCTCCTCCTCCTCCTCCTCCTCCTCCTCCTCCTCCTCCTCCTCCTCCTCCTCCTCCTTCCTCCTCCCCTCCTCCTCCTCCTCCTCCCGTCCTCCCCTCCTACTCCTCCATCCTCCCTCCTCCACCTTCCTCCTCCTCCTCCTCCCTCCTCCTCTCCGCTCCGCCTCGCCTGCTCCTCCTCCTCCTCCCCTCCTCCTCTCCTCCTCTCCTCCTCCTCCTCCTCACTCCGCCCTCCTCACTCCTCCTCTCTCCTCCTCCTCCTCCTCGCCTCCTCCTCCTCCTCATCCTCCTCCTCCTCCTCCTCCTCCTCCTCCTCCTCATCACTCCTCCTCCTCCTCCTCCTCCTCCTCCTCCTCCTCGCCTCATACACACTCCTCCTCCTCCTCCTCCTCCTCCTCCTCCCTCCTCCTCCCTCCCTCCCTCCCTCCCTCCTCCCCCCCCCCTCCTCCTCCTCCCTCTTCCCTCCTTCTCCTTCTCGTCCTACCTCCTCCTTTAACATCATTTGTTCGTTCGGACTTCAGCAACGGAGCTGTACCCCTCCTCCTCCTCCTCCTCCTCCTCCTTTCCTCCTCCTCCTCCTCTCCTCTCCTGCTGCAACCAAACCTCTTCTTTTTCATCCTCCTCCTCCTCCTCCTGCTCCTCCCCTCCTGCAGCCACGGGCGGCACTCGCGACGCGCAATGGATCGACGCCGCGGGCACAGCCGTGACGTGGGGCGGCGACTGTGGCCCACTGCTGCGGCCGGGCGGGAGGGACGTCGTCAGTTGCGCAGACGTCCACCGCACCCGCGAGGGCCAGGTGCGCCAGCTGCGCATCCGCCTGACAGGTGGGAAAAAACTGAAGGACAAATGGAGTCAGAGGGTGCGCCGCTGGATCTCCCCAAGGGGGGGGGGGGTAGGACCCCCCCCCCCCCCCCCCTTCCCGATCCGTTGTCGGGGTGCCCCCCCCCCTCCCCCCCTTCCCCGATCCGTCGTCGGGGAGACCCCCCCCCCTCCCCCCCCTTTCCCGACCGTCGTCGGGGACCCCCCACCTCCCCCCTTCAAAAGGCGGGGGGGGAGGGGTTCCGACACCCCCCCCTCCCCCCCCTTTCGCCACGCCGCCCTCTGACTCCGGAACCCGACCCCCGCCACCCCTAGTCCTCACCCGAAACCAACCCCCTAATCCTAACCCCAACCACTAAGCCCAGCCCCAAAGAGTACTCACTACTCACTATTCACTACCAACCACTGACTACTCGCTATTCGCTACTCACTTCTCAGTACACCCTACTCACTACTCACGACTCACTACTCACTATCCACTCCTCACTACCCACCACCCACTACTCGCTACTCACTACTCACTACTCACTACTCCCTCCTCCCTACTCACTACTCACTACTCACTCCTCACTACCCACTATTCAATACTCACTACTCACTAAGCAGTATTCACTACTCCCTACTCACTACTCACTACTCCCTACTCACTACTCACTAACCACTACTCATTACCCACTACCCACTATCCACTACTCACTACTCTCTACTAACGACTCATTGCCCACAAATCACTACTCACTACCCACTACCCACTACTCGCTACTCCCTACTCCCTACACAATACTGACTAAACAGTACTCAGTACTCACTACTCGCTACTCCGATACTCGCTACTCAATATTCACTACTCACTTTCCGCCACTCACTATTCACTACTCACTACTTACTACTCCCTACTCATTAGTCACATAGTCTCTAGTCACCAGTCACAAGTCACTAGTCACTACCCACTACTCCCCAATCGCTACTCACTGCCCACTATTCGCTACCCACTTCTTACTACTCACTACTCCCTACTCCCTATTCCCTACTCGTTACTCACTACTCGCTACTCCCTACTCGTTACTCACTAATCACTACCCACTACTCACTACTGACCACTCCCTACTCACGACTCATTACTCACTACGCCCTACTCGCTCCTCACTACTCGCTACTCCCTACTCGCTGCTCACTACTCACTACCCAGTGCCACTACCCACTACTCTCTATTCATCACTACTCACTACTCACTACGCACTACGTACTACTCAGTACTCACTAATCACTACTCACTACTCACTACTCAGTACTCGCTACTCACTACTCACTGCTCACTAGTCACTACTCACTACTCACTACTCACTACTCACTACTCACTACTCACTACGCATTACGCACTACCCACTACTCACTACTCACTAATCACTACTCGCCACCCACTACTCACTACCCATTACTCATTACTCCCTACTCCCTGCTCAGTACTCACTACTCGCTACTCGCTACTCCCTACTCACTACTCACCACTCGCCACTCACTACTCACTTATCAGTACACACTACTCACTATTCACTACTCAGTACTCCCCACTCCCTACCCCCTACTCGCCACTCACTACCCACTACCAAGAACCCAATACTCACTGCTTACTACGCACTAACTCACTACTCACTACTCACCACCCCCTACTCCCAACTCCGTACTCCCTACACGAGGGGGGGGGGTCGAAACCCCCCCCCCCCCTGTCCAGCCCAAGGGGGGAGGGGGGGGAGGGGTTCCGGACCCCCCCCCCCCCCTTCAAGGGAGGGAGGAAGGGGGGGGGGTTTCGGGACCCCCCCCCCCCTTCAGGGGGGGAAGGGGGGGAGGGGTTCCGGACCCCCCCCCCTTCAAGGGAGGGAGGGGGGGAGGGGGTTCTGGACCCCCCCCCCTTAGTGTATTCAAGGAGATCCACTGGCGCACTTTCATAGAGTCAACCCCCGCATAATTCATGCTGCTCTCATTGTACTTAAGGACCACATCCCCAAAATAATCTCGAGCACCCAGAAAATATCGAAACAGTGTCAAACGAGTATCGCCTCCCAGGGCCCGGCACTTGAAAACCATCCAGTTTCGGTACTTTCTTGGTGCTCGAAATTGTTTCTGGTGGTCAAGGCTAAAGCCAGTTCGAATATCATAACGCGCAGCAGGGATTGGCAACCTTCCCAAAGGCACCCTTGCATCCTTGCCCCTTCGGTCCATCCTTGGCGATTTCTCGCTGGCCAACCTCGCTCGAACAACGTTTCGCTGGCCATCCTGACCGCGCATCTTATGATACGGGTCGACTGTACCGAGTGCACCCGAGCGACGACGAAGACGTGGCCGGAGGACGAGAGGACGTGACGACCTTGTGCGACGGATTATACGCAGGCCGCTCACGCCGCACGCTGTGCTCTTTGTTTCCCGAGGAGCAGTCTTCTGAGGAGCAAGATCTGGAAGCGGACCGCGGTGAGATATACACAACTCGCATCGCCAAGCGTGCCGGCAGTGCTCCTGTTCGTCGAACATGTGTGGAACAGAGGGCGATTACGCGCGACCTTAAGCGGGCAACTTGCGCACGGCTGCCCGTGCAGTGGCCCTCTTTTTCCTCGACCACGCACCTAAGTTGGTCTGGCCTTTACACGCCTGGACCTGTTTGTGTTCTGCTTCCTTGGACTAAGAGGCATTCCAAATCATACGTTTCATCGATTGTGGTCTCGTGGGGCATTTCATGATTACCATCTGTTTGTTTTCTGTCGCCTCTGTTCGCCACACGCGGAAAGACAAGTAAACTGAGCATATCCACGTGACGTCCAGGCACTCGGGCGCGCGCGCACGACCTCTGCGAAGCGCAAGGGGGAGCAAGACCGTGCTCCAAGCACGGTCGGCCGATCTCCGAACGCAAATTCTCGTTAGCCTGAGAAAGCCACCGTCGCGTCGGCGATTGCCTGAGCGCGAATTCGCAACCTAGCGTCTCGCTTGTTGCTGTCCCTCAACGGGGCGCCTGGGCGCGTTGCGCAGCCGAGAAGGAGGGCACTGGTGGCTCCTCGACGCACGTCCTGTCGCTGCTCCCGCGTCGCGGAGGCCGTGAGCCTGAAGGGTGCTCACCGCTGTCCCTCTGAACTTGGGTTCTATCTGATTCGTTCAAGACTTTGCGGGGCCAAACGAGGCCTGCCTGCCTATAGCGGGCGTGTAGGGTCGCTCAGCGTGCGCAAGAGACATGTACGCTGGCATCCTATATCCTCATGCTCTTGAGCATGCCTACACGACTATAGTGTGATAGCTTTAGGTACGTACTGTCTTTCCGGGTATGGTTGTTTTTGGTATGCTTAAACGAGTTTAGAGTGTCTTGAAAAGAACCACAAGGAACCCAACTCTGAACCTCGCGGGCCGGCCCTCCGGCACCACTGGCACCCTTCAAGCAGCTAGGAGGGCGCGTCGTATGCGCGCTCCCTGTGCGCGGTGGCGTGCGCGACGTCTGCGCGCCCCCCACGGGCGAATTCGCATGCACTGAAAACCTTCAGACTCGCCCGCGGCAGCCCCGATCCCCCTGGTGCCCTCACACCCTGCGGCTTCCGATACGGCCGATCCTCGCGAGGAACGCGTCACGGGCGCCCATGGCCGCCAGCTCCTCCTCCGACCCGGAGCGGCGGGGCACCGTGGCCTCTTGCTGCGCACGGCCCTCTGGCCTGCAGCCGCGCCCGCCCAGCAGCACCGGGAGAGCCCCCCGGGGCTGCGCGGCCCCGAGCGCCGCCGAAGCCTGGCCCTGCGAGCCGCCCCCGGCTGCCCCGCAGCACCCCCCGGCCGCCGCCTCCGCGAAGGCGACCCTCCTCTCGCCGCGGGGGCCCGCGGCCTCGGAGAAGAACGACGGACCCCCGTCGGCCCCGGGCGTGGCGGCACCCATCGATAGGGGAAACGAACGGTGACAGAAACAGAACCACCTCGGAGGTCCGCGCGGAGTTCTTGGATCCGCGCTGGGCCCCCCTCCCTGGCGCGCGGAGAGCGCGCGCGCCGGGGGGCGGCGCTGGAGGCGCCGCCAGGGGGCCCCGGCGCCGATCCAAGAAATCCGCGCGGGCCTCCGAGTTCTCGGTGCTCCTGTCTCTGCTCGCTCCCCTGATCGAGCGCCCCGGGGTCGCGGCGCCCGCGGAGCGCGCTGGCGTCTTGGGCGTGAGGGCCTCCAGGGAGCGGGCCGGCGTGCGGGGCGTCTTCGGGGTGCGCTCCCCCAGGGCGGCCGCGCAGGCCGCGGCTGGGCCCGCGGTCCTCGGCGTCACCGCGGGCCCCAGGGACAGCCTGGAGCCGGCGGCGGCGGAGCGGGCGACGGCCGCACCAAAGGTGCGCATCGGTGCGGCCATCGCCAGTGGAGTCGGCGCGGGTCCCAGAGAGCCAGCGCATGGAAAAGATCAAGACGGAGGTTTTCGCCGTCTTCGGCCTCTAGCGGCCCCCGCCGGGCCTCGGGAGCGTCAAAAAACGGCTCGGGACGTCGAGCTGGCCCTGGGGAGTGGGTCGAGACTTCTGGGGGCCCCGCATTGAAAAAAACACGACGTCGGATCTCTGGGGCAGGTGCGCGCGAGCGCGGGGAGGAGCCTCAGGCGAGGACAGCGCAGCCCCACCCCCTCGCCCTCCAGCCAGGAGCCACGCTCCCGACCCGAGGATCCCGGGGGCCCTGGCAGGGGGGGGGGTCTGTTCTCGGGGGCCAAGCAAAGCACCCTCCACCCCAGCCTGGACCCCCGGGATCACCAGCTCGGGCGTGTGGGTCCTGGCTGTGGGTGGGGGGGGGTCGTGCTGTCCGCGCATGGGGCGGGGGGCGATCTTGGTCCGAGACGGCTGCGGAAGGGGAAGGGATGAGGAGCTTCGCGCTTTCCCAGAAGACCTCGGGCACGCAAGACCCCACGGTGGCGGGATGGGCCGAAGGCGGAGGAGGAGGAGGAGGAATTGAATGGAATGGAATGGAATGGAATGGAATGGAATGGAATGGAATGGAATGGAAAGTTGTTGGAAATCTCCAGGAAGCTCCAAAAACGAGCCCCGCACCTCCAAGCAGCCTCGGTACCTGCCAGACCGTCCCTGGACAGCCCTACTACCCTCGTCAAAATTAACCTCAAAAATGGCGACCGCGCCCCTGCGATATCGGCGCGCCCTTCAATGTCGATAGACGCCCTTCCAATGTTGGGGCCAGGACAAAAGTGGTCTGACCAGGAACGACTCGGAAGTTCGATGATGACCGACATTGGAGAAGCGGCGCGCACAAGTACCTCGCAGTCACCGCTACTCTGTCCAGTATCTCCCCGCAGACAGTTCAGCCACGTAAAGCATGTTTGAGGTTAATTTTGCCGAGGCTTGTAGGACCCCCTCCCAGAACCCTTGGGGGCTTCCGAAGGCCCCGCAGGGCCCCTCAGGAGCTTCCCAGAAGGACCGACACACGAGAACCGAAGCATAATCCTCAGGAACATGGGCCCTAGACGAGCGCGTTCCACTACTCGCAAAGCAGCTACTCGCAAATGGACTGGATCCGCCGCGGGGGATCAACGATGAATGGCATCGAAGCAGACATGTGGTTTTCGGGCGCTTGCGAGTAGGCACTTTGCGAGTAGTGGAACGCGCTCGGGGCCAACTTTAGCGCAATAGATACGTCAATCTCTCATGTGGGCTTTCCTCGTTCCTCCCGAACGGCCGCAATTGACACTCTGATTATGCCTCTCAAGCGGTTCCCCCAAAGGCACTGGGCCCTGGGCGGCCCCAAGACTGTCAAAGACGACCCGAAGGTGCTCCAAGACCGAACAAAGAATGCCCCGAAACTATCCAAGGCCGAGCCGCAGACCCAAAGCCTCTTTAGGCAACCCCAAGATGTTTCCTCAACTTCTCTTCAAGAGAGCCCTGGGTGACCACCACGCCCAGGACGGCCTCCCTGCCAAACTGGTATCACCCCCCTTCTCAAATCATGTAGGATTACATGCACGCGCAATCGCGCGGGCACGTCGGATTTCATCATGTTCGAAGCAGTTCAAGATAGCGTTATTCAACACACGATGTAACTCTCATGCTTTCCAACAGAAGGTCTGCAAGACTCTGCGCGGCGCGCGGGTGGAAGCCTGAGACAAAGCTCGGTCTCAGCAGCAACCAAGCGTGCCCACCGTTCACTATGCGCGCCTTGAATCGGCTTGCGTGCTGACATTTAGCGCGACCTTCACGGGCGCCAAGCCATATGGAGAGCCCGCGACGAAATCCAAGATTCGGGTAAGAATATTAGATTCCAGGTCGAGCAACTTGACGTTTTGCTTGCCGAGGGAACCAAACATGAGAACATATGACAACACGTGCCGCTGGACATCGGATTCACGTTGCTGAATACTGCGCGTCAACGCCGTCTTTGACCACGCATTGCTTGCCACCAAGAGAGTCGAACCATAATGGTTTGAGCTCTCTCCCCCCTTCCCTTGGCCTTATCGCCCCAACTCCGTATTGATTTCATGTTTAACCATCATCCGGCCGACTTCAACATAGGACCTATTGGGGGCCATCTGGAAGGAAAACATTCCCAGGGCGCGCCGAGGAACCCAAGGGGCTTGTTTCCCGCGGAAGAAAAACATCCTTGCGATGGGTTCGGGCACGGGGTACCCCTGCTTAAAATTCCGGAAGTGGAATGAACTCTCAGCCGCGGGGGTGCTGGCGCACAGGGTCCCACCTCCCCCTGCGCAACCAGAGGAGGAGACGCGCGAGAGCCAGTAGTTAACGTAATGCAACATCAATCTAACAGTAGTTGTGCTAAGAAGTTGTACGACTTGCAAACTAGTGTCCTATTTTCGAAATCGGCATTACATAATGTCTCCGTGTTCCTTGATCGCAATTATATGATGTTTCCGTGCTCCCAAGTCGCGATCCTATAGTGTTTCCTGGTTCATAAGTCAAGAGACTATAGACTGTTTCCTCAAGTACCCAAATCGCAATTCGATTAGACTAGTTGTACTGCATGACCAGGTGCACTCTAGGAGCAGCTGCGCGCTAGCACATGATGGTGCCAGTTGTACTCAAAATACTAGGTGCACTCTAGCTGGAGGGGTTCAGGGGTTCCGACGGCATTATGCGCGCGGAAGAAAGAAACAAATCTATGCGCCGCCAAGGGTCCCGGGTTTACAGACTCGCCGCGAAGGTGGACCCCCCGCGAAAGGAAGAAAAGAAATCCGACCGGGCGGGTTGGGGGGTTCAGGCATGAATCGCGGGGACAATGATGTTTGACCTGCGCGATCGCTCATCGGGAATCTCACATAATAGCATGACGGCAAGACCCAGTATCGACCCCCACACTGCACCCCTGTCCAATCAAAAATGTGGCGAGCATGCGTTGATCTTAGTGTTTGCTGGAGCCGCTGTAACCAATATTATGCGGTGGACATGCGCGCGCGGCGTCGAATGTCAGAATCATTGAAAGCACGCGGTTGTTCCCTTATCCTGAGTGGTGTTCTTGTTTTCTCTGCAAACACCCCGCGCAGGAACCTCACCTCCCTCTCCTCCCTGGTCCTCCTACACTCGTCATCATCACCACCTCCACCAACATCAAAATCTCCCTCCAGAGCAGAACAAGACCGAAAAACATGATCTGGTTGGCCTGACGAACGCTTTGCCCCCAAGACAAACCAAGACAAACAATATCTGGTTGGGCTGACATGTGCATTGCCCCAAAGAAGTCCCATGATGGATTCAAGACGCTCCTCAAATGCGCCAGCCTTGCCCCAAGATTGCCTAATACAGCCCCATGAAAGGTTCCGTTGGCTCCAACGTGTCCGCAACATCGTCCAGCATAGCCCAGGACGGCCACAAGGCGGTCCGATGATTCCCTCAAGAGGCCCCGAAATGGGCCCAAGCAGATACGATTGGCACGCGATTCTCGCTTACTCCAGAACGGTATATGGTTCGCTAACTACAAACGCTTCAGGTTCCCAGGGCCACGATCCATCGTATGAGATATGCCGTATTGTGTTAGCGCCTGCGGCGACATGATTCTTCATATACCTGCCCGATATGGTCACGCACTACCTCCAAATAGCCCGGGACAACTCAATCCAGTCCAAGATGCCCCCAAATATGAAAGAAGGACATCTCGAGCTGGCCCCAATATTGCTTAGATGTAGCATGGAAGGCTGGCTCTTGCGCTAGCTTCGCCGGCTCCTCTTCCTCGTTCTTCATATCTCTCTCTATACATATATCGCCTTTTCTCACTCTCTCTCTCTCTCTATGCGGTCACAGCGGGCTCGATCAGATCACACAAAACAATACTATGGTACAGCAGATAGACCAGGCCAGACCAGGCCACAATAGCGGACCAGCCTGGACGAGACAACTCACGACCAGAACATCCCAAAGCTGTAAAATGCAGAGCAGGCCAGACAAGAGGAGAGTGAGCGAGTTAGCCGACCAGGTTTGCGCAGGTCTGCCCGCCCCCACCGATTGCGGACACAAGGTTGCACAGGTGAATAAAAAATGAGGGGGAGATGCGGGCAAAGAGGAGATGGATGAAGAGGGAAGAGAAGGCAAAGGGAACAACGTGAAAATGAAGACTTGGATGGCGGGGGGGTAGAGGCCGACGCGGAACACGCATACGAGGAAGAATAACATTATTAGAAAGAGAAGGCGAAACCACTGATGCAATCGCACTGTTGACTTCGTTGCGCTCTAAGACGTGCGCAATCGTAAGATAACAAATCTCGTATCAAATGCGACCGGTACAACCAGATTGGCACACATGGCACTGCAGACCATACCAGACTAGACCGCACGCGACTAGACGAGATCACACAACACCAGGCAAGGGCGGTGCTCGTTGACAGCTGACCACGCAAAACGCAAGCGAGGCACTGGTCGCTAGATTGGCTGGTGAGGACACGCGAACCGTTATGCATGCTTCAATCATGACACGCCAGGAACATGTCGAATTTCAAAGGTCATGGCGCAACAAGGACAGCCCACATCATGTGCATCCACATTTTCGGGCGCTTGCCTTTTGCTGTGGGTCCTCAAGAACCACTCCGAAAATGCATCACGCGAGCACAAACCTAACAGCACCTCTCGAGGGGCACTGCCTGTAGCGAAGCACGCAAGGGAGCGAGACAAAGCGGACTCCGAGCGTCTTCAGTCGTTAATCAACCAGATCAGGGCCCCGTAAACCCAGACACGCTAGACCCGGACACCCAACATCCCTGGAAACCAATTTTCCCAGACAGCGGCACGAGCAAAAGACTGCACTGCAGCAGTTCCAGAAAAAAACGACCCTAAAAGCCTGCAAGACCCCCCAAACCCGGACACAAACCCGAATCCTGCAGTGCAGCAAACAGAAAATGTACGGGTGCTGAAAAATGTGACCTTGCAGGAAAGGGTGTCGTTTCCTTGGGTTTCCGTGTCCTGGTTTATCTGTGTCCTGGTCTCCGGGGGCCTGACCAGCGCGTGCAACCGTCGCGCCAGCTATTGCCAGAGTGCGAATTCGCAAGCTGGCATCTCGCTCGTTGCGGGCCCTCCATGGGGGCGCCCGGGCGCGCTGCGCAGGCGAGCAGGCGGGGCACTGTTGGCCCCTCGACGCACTACCTGCCACCGGAGGAACGAAACAACTGCATCAACAGAAACTGTCGGAGCTCCGCGCGCCAGGGGCGGCGCCAGAGGCGCCGCCAGCGGGGGCCTCAACGCCGATCCAAGAATATCAGCGCGGAGCTCCAAAAATTTCCGTTTATACCGCTGTCTGTTCCTCGAGCCCCTGCTTCCGCGTCGCGTAGGCCTCGGGCCTGAAGGGTGCTCACCGCTGTCCCTCTGACTCCGGGCCTGGATCCAGTTTTGGGCCCTGTCCCAGTGGAGGAGGAGGATGAGGAGGAGGAGGAGGAGGAGGAGGAGAAGGACGAGGAAGAGGAGGAGGAGGAGGAGGAGGAGGAGGAGGCCCCCTCCTCCCCGCTTCAGGGCACTGCTGACAGTCACCGCTGCCATTCCTCGGCAGCTGGGTGGGCGCAGCGTCTGCGGTGGCATGCGCGCCGTCTGCGCGCGCCCATCAAGGGCGAATTCCAGGTGTCGGAAACAGTTAATTAAGCAACACTCATACAGAACCTATGGTTTGAACTCCCCCCCTCCTCCCTCCCTCCCTCCCTCCCTCCCTCCCTCCCTCCCTCCCTCTCCTCCTCCCTGCTCCTGCTCCTCCTCCTCCCCCTGCTCCTCCTGCTCCTCCTCCTCCTGCTCCTCCTACTCCTGCTCCTCCTCTCCTCCAATCCTCCTGCTCCACCTGCTCCTCCTGCTCCTCCTGCTCCTCCTCCTGCTCCTCCTGCTCCCCCCTCCAATCCTCCAATCCTCCTCCTCTCCTCCTCCTCCTCCTCCTCCTCCTCCTCCTCTCTTCTCCTCTTCCTCTTCTCCTCTTCTCCTCTTCTCCTCTTCTCCTCCTCCTCCTCCTCCTCCTCCGCCTCCTCCTCCTCCTCCTCCTCGTCCTCCAACCCCCCACCCTGAGGATACCCGGGAATCCAGGTGTCGGGAACAGTTGAGCACCACTCATGCAAAGTCCATGGTTTGAACTCCCCCTCTATCCCCCCAAGTGCAAAATGTTCGCCTCGGCTCTTCCGATTCTGGGCCTCCGAGTGGTACCCAGGGAACGTATGCGGGGTAGGGGGGGAGTGTTGCTTCACTTTTTCCCTCGACCGTCGCATGCACCGAAGCCCTCGCGATGCGCACGCGACAGCTCTCGAGCCTGCTGCCCTCACACCCTGCGGCTTCCGATCCTGCCGGCCCTCGCGAGAAATGCCTCGCGGGCGCTCGTGGCCGCCAGCACCTCCTTTCGAGGCACCCCAGATGGGGTCGGGGTCGATGGCGGCGGAGGATCGCGCCGCGTCGGCGATGCATCGCCGACGTCTGCGCGACGCATCCGCGACCGTCGGCGCGGAGAATTTCGGGCTACACGTCGAGCCACATCGCCGATGCATCGGCGATGCGGCGCAGTCCTCCGACCCTATCTACAGTCAAAACAGATAGAAAGGATGCGCGATAAGGACGCAAGACCCTTGGACGCGCATGACGAAGCTTTTCGAGCGGTGCTCACCATCGAAGGTGTTGAGGGATGAACCGACGAGGCAAGGATGCAAAGGTACCCTTGGGAAGGTCGCCCATCCTTATCACCGGTTTCGACTCTCTGACCCAATTTCAACGACGATCCAAAACGGGTCTTACGTGAGGTAGCGTAGCGACCTTACGTGGTGGCTTCCGCGGCCCGCCAGCGCGGCACGCTAAATCGGAAACAAGGGCGCTTACGCGCGACTATTACGCGAGCAGCTCACGCGCCAATGTCGGCGCAGACGGCACCGTTTTTATTGCGCCGCTCATCCCCTGAGATCCGACGTTGCAGCAAATTGCGACATCGCATAGAAAAACACGACCGGAGCCCCGGACCCAATCTTGCTGCGTCATCTGTCGAGCCGGATCGCGCTGCGAGAGCCCTGGGGCCCGAAATCGAGCGAAAACGCCCGCTGTGAAACGATGGCAACGCCAGGATCTTCCCAGACATGTGACGTCCTGATTTTTTCAGGACGGCATCTCTGGAAGTCCCGATCCTTGCGTTTTTTTGATCCTGAATTGTTTTTTCACGGTCCTGGGACCCGGCGACGGCCCCTAGAGGCCGAAAATGGCCAACCCCCCCCCGTCCTGATTTTGTTTGACGACGCGATCATGTCTGGGTCAGGGCCTGGGAGGCCCAGACTCCTCCGGCACAGACTGGCGGACCGCCGTGGGCCCTCGCTGCGCAGGGCCCTCCGCTTCGCCCTCGCGCCCGCCCAGCAGCACTGGCAGGCGCCCGCGCAGCGCCGCCCGGGAGCGCGCGGCCCCGGGCGCCGCTGCTGAAGGTTGGCCCAGGGCGCCGCCCGGGGCACCCCCGCGGGGCTCCTCTCGGCGGCGTGGAGGAGGGGAAGGAGGAGGATTGGAGGAGGAGGATTGGAGGAGGAGGAGGAGGAGGAGGAGGAGGAGGAGGAGGAGGAGGAGGAGGAGGAGGATTGGAGGGGGAGGGGGAGGAGGAGGAGGAGGAGGAGGAGGAGGAGGAGGAGGAGGAGGAGGAGGAGGAGGAGGAGGCGGAGGAGGAGGGGAGGAGGAGGAGGAGGAGGAGGAGGAGGAGGAGGAGGAGGATTGGAGGAGAGGAGGAGGAGGAGGAGGAGGAGGAGGAGGAGGAGGAGGAGGAGGAGGAGGGAGGAGGAGGATTGGAGGGGGAGGAGGAGGAGGAGAGGAGGAGGAGGAGGAGGAGAGGAGGAGGAGGAGGATTGGAGGGGGAGGAGGAGTAGGAGGAGGAGGAGGAGGACCAGTTTAAACCCAAGAGTCATCAACGATGTTGGAATGAATCCTCCCTCCAAGCTCCCTCTTCGTAGGCCACTACAACGGTTCATTCCCATTGAGGGAACTGCATTGTTGGAAGACAACCGTTTGAAGATCATGAGGCATGCCAAAACATTGCTCTCGGGATTTCAACACCACGTATTAACCTGACTGCTGCGTCTTGACGATACGGAATCGTGCCAGAACGCCATTCTTGGGACTTCAACACCGCGAATCAACATAACTAAGTGTTTAAAACGAATATGCGCGACGCTAAAGCGAGAGCCACATTTTGAAAGCGACCCGCCCTCCATCTGTGCAACTGCTGTCACTTCTTCAGCTTCAGAACCATACATGGTGAGGAGCCCGCCCTAAAAACTGGCCTCGGGGTGCGACAGGGATAATATATCTATAAGGAGAAGGAATGGAGGAGGAGGAGGAGGAGGAGGAGGAGGAGGAGGAGGAGGAGGAGGAGGAGGAAAAGGAAAAGGACGAGGAAGAGGAGGAGGGGGAGAGAGGAGGAGGAGGAGGGAGGAGGAGGGAGGAGGAGGAGTAGGAGGAGGAGGAGGAGGAGGGGGGGGAGAGCAGGCGGCGAAATCTATACATATCCATTGCTCCCTGGCCAGGCCCACCATGAACCCAGCAGCGGTGTGTACGCCACGCCCTCCTAGCCTGGCCAGGAGGGCGTATATTGACAGCTCCTGGATTCAGGATGGGCCTGGCAAGGGAGCAGTGGATATGTATGGATTTAGTCGCCATGTGAGAAAGAAGAGACCCTCTCAGAAGGCGGCCAGCCTTCCGGGAGGCTCTCTGTGTCCTCGGGGGGGGAGGCTCAGAAAACTTCTCGGAAGGCCCGAGGCCTTCAGGGCCTCCGGAGACGGCCCGCCCCTTCTCACCTGCCCCCCTCTTCCGCCGCCGATCCTCGGCCGCCACCTCCGAGAAAGCGACCCTCCTCTCGCCGCGGGATGGAGTGGCCTCGGAGAAGAACGATGTCGGAGAGCAAGCGGCGACACAAAAGCATGCACTTTCGGAAGTCCGCACGGACTTCTCGAATCGGCGCTGGAGGCGCCGCCGGTAGGGAGCCCACTAAGGACGTACGCGCCCAACCACGGACATGAACACGGCCCCCTCGTCCGCGAGACCAGCCGCGTGACCCGCAAGCTCGCGCAGCTCCAGCGAGGCTTCATGCACATACGCGCGCGCCCTTCTTGCGCTCACGGGCCAGGGATGATGGGCCTATTTCCCACCACCACCACCACCACCACCACCACCACCACCACCACCACCACCACCATAAGTTGCAGGGGGAGGGCGTCCTCCTCCTCCTCCTCCTCCTCCTCCTCCTCCTTCCCCCCCCCCTCCGACTTCCGGTGCTGCTGGTGGAAAACAGGCCCGTCAAGGGAGCTTCAGCGACGACCCCAGAAATCCGCGCGGACCTCCGAAGGCTCATGCTCGGGCCACGTCTTGCGCCCCTGCGATAAGCCCTCCCCGCCCCCGGGCGTCGCGGCGCCCACCGAGCGCGCGGGCGTTGCGGCGCCGACGGAGCGCGCTGGCGTCTTCGGCGTGAGGGCCCCCAGCGAGTTGGCCGGCGTGCGCGGCGTCTTCGGGGTGCGCTCGCCCCCGAGCGGGGCCGCGGCGGCGGCCGCGACCGAGCCCGCCTGCCGCGGGGTCACGGCAGACCCCAAGGACAGCCTGGCCCCGGCTCCGGCGGAGCGGGCGACGGCGGCGCCAAAGGTGCGCATGGGCGCGGCCATCGCCGACGGTCGGCGCGGAGGGGGCGCGTGCGCGGGCGTGGGGAGGGGCGGGGGGGATGCGGTCCTTGGCCGAAGCGGCTTGTGAGCGGGAGGGGACGGTAAATGCGAGGAAGAGGAACAGAGTCGGGGGTGGCCAGGAGGGGGGGGTCCAGGAGGGGGGGGCGCAAATCATGGCCGGCGGCATGTGCGCGGCCCAAGGGGGGGGCCAGGGACGTAATGGAATAAGAAGAGGCGCCATGAAATCTGGGGAGATATCATGGGCCACGCCATGATATCCTCCCCCCCCCCTAGTAGTCATCACCCCCCCCTCTTTGCCGCCACCGACAGAGGGCCCCAAGTTGGCCATGGCCCATGGTCGGGACCTGAGCGGTGCAGCCAACCGAATCGGGCGACGCCCGTCCGATCCGGCAGCCCCCCTCTGGGCGAGATCCGCCTGCAGCCGACAAGCCGCGCGCCAAGCCTGGCCCGCAGCCCTCCGCGCTCCCCTCTGCGAACCCCTGCCCAGGAGCCGTCGCACAACTTGACACAGGGGCAACGTTACAGCGGAGGCTAATCCACAAGATACCTTCCACAAGAAACCCAACCCTGAGACCCCAGCACGCACATTGATTTTTGGTGTGGGAACGTCACGCTTCCCATGGCAAAACCATCGACGCCCTGAAACCCAGGGCGCCCTCGAGGCAAGCAGGGTGTTTCTTGGCATGGGCCCCCACTGTAGGGGGGCAGTTCAGAGGGAGAAACGACAAGCTTGAATCAGCAACGCATCGCCAACACAGAGACACACAGACACACAGACACACAGACACACAGACACACAGACACACAGACACACAGACACACAGACACACAGACACACAGACACACAGACACACACACACACACACACACAGACACACACACAGACACAGACACAGAGACACACACACACACACACACACACACACACACACACACACGCATACTCCTATGTATATTTTTTTTATGGCCGGGGAGCCCACACCCCAGCGCCCCCCCCCAAACAAATTTTGCCTCCTCGGGCCTGTTTTGCGCCTTGCTGTGGCCATCCTGGGGTCGTCTTGACGCCCGCAGAGTCAAGCGGAAGTGCGCAAGCGAGAAGGCCGAAAACATTGATTTGTTACTGCGTTTTCTTTGCTTTTCCCACTCTCCGGGCCCTGTTGCGCCAGCCTTGGGCCTCTTTGGGGCTCGTGTGGGGCACCACCTGGAGTCGTCTTGGAGGCATCTGGACGCCTCAAGAGCCAATCGGAAGCGACAAGGCGAGAAAACCAAAAACCTTGCTTTCTCCTTATGATTTTCCTGCATCTGTCCATCTCTGGGCCCCCCTCTCCGGGCCCTATTGGGCAGGGGAGCGCGCCCCCCCCCCCCCTCGCCCTCCCCCAAAAGACTTTCGAATCCTCAGGTCTGTCTTGTGCCTCCCTGTGGCCGTCTTGGGGTCGTCTGGACGCCCCCCGAGTCAACCGGAAGTGGAAAAGCGGGAAGGCCGAAACCACTGTTTTCCTATAGCGTTTTGGCAGTCAGTCCCACTTTCCGGGCCCTGTTGCGCCAGCCTTAGACCTCTTCGGGGCTCGTCAGGGGACTCAATTGGAAACGTCTTGGAGCTGTCTCGACGCCTCAAGAGCCAATCGGAAGCGACAAGGTGAGACGACCAAAAAACTTGCTTTTCCAATGCTGTTCCTACATGTGTCCACTCTTGGGTCCCACTCTCCGGGCCGAGTTGCGCCATCTCCGAACCCTGTTGCGCCAGCCGTGGGCCACTTTGGGGCTCGCCTGGGGACTTATGTGGAGACGTATTGGAGCTGTCTGGACGCCTCAAGACCTAATCGGAAGCGACAAGGCGAGAAGACCAAAACCTTGTTTTGCCAATGATTTTCCTACATTTGTCCGTCCTTGGGCCCCACTCTCCGGGCCCAGTTGCGCCAGCCGTGGGTCTCTTTGGGGCTCGTCTGGAGACTCATTTGGAGCCGTCTTGGAAGCATCTAGACGCCTCAAGAGACAATCGGAAGCGACAACAGGAAGCGAAAAAAACGAAACAACAAGAGTGCCATCTGCAAGAAGCCGGCAGCCCCGCAGCGCGCACTCTGAAAATAGCAAATTGGAGAAAAGCAAGAAGAAGTATAGGAAAAGGAAAAGGAAAGGAGAAGGAAGCGGAATGAGGAAAAGGAGGGAAGAGCAGAAAGAGCATGAAGATGAAGAGGAGAAAGAAGGGGGAGGAACATGCGGAGGAAGAGCAAGAGGAGGAGGATGCCCTGCTTCATGCTACCACAACCAGTCGCCTGAGATTTACTCGCGCCTCTGGGCACAGAAACGCCCTGAGCTGGCCAGAGCTGGCGTTGTCAAGTCGCTCCCGCGTAGGAGATCCTGACCCTGGCGGTGGCCGGCCACACGTCCACGCGCGCGCGCTGCCTGCATTCGAACTCACAAGGAACAAGATGCATGGCGCGAAACGCCAATCCAGTCTTGTAGATTCCTTATATATATGTATGTATGTATATATATATATATATATATATATATATATATATATTATAGGGCCGGGAGCCCACACCCCAGCGCCCCCCCCCCAAACGAATTTCGCCTCGTCGGGCCTGTTTTGCGCCTTGCTGTGGTCATCCTGGGGTCGTCTTGACGCCCGCAGAGTCACGCGGAAGTGGGCAAGCGAGAAGGCCGAAAATATTGATTTGTTACTGCGTTTTCTTTGTTTTTCCCACTCTCCGGGCCCAGTTGCGCCAGCCTTGGGCCTCTTTGGGGCTCGTGTGGGGCACCACCTGGAGTCGTCTTGGAGGCATCTGGACGCCTCAAGAGCCAATCGGAAGCGACAAGGCGAGAAAACCAAAAACCTTGCTTTCTCCTTATGATTTTCCTGCATCTGCCCATCTCTGGGCCCCCCTCTCCGGGCCCTATTGGGCAGGGGAGCGCGCCCCCCCCCCCTCGCCCTCCCCCAAAAGACTTTCGAATCCTCAGGTCTGTCTTGTGCCTCCCTGTGGCCGTCTTGGGGTCGTCTGGACGCCCCCCGAGTCAACCGGAAGTGGAAAAGCGGGAAGGCCGAAACCATTGTTTTCCTATAGCGTTTTAGAAGTCAGTCCCACTCTCCGGGCCCTGTTGCGCCAGCCTTAGACCTCTTCGGGGCTCGTCAGGGGACTCAATTGGAAACGTCTTGGAGCTGTCTCGACGCCTCAAGAGCCAATCGGAAGCGACAGGGCGAGAAGACCAACAACCTTGCTTTTCCAATGATTTTCCTACATTTGTCCATTCTTGGGCCCCACTCCCCGAGCCGAGTTGCGCCATCTCTGGGCCCTGTTGCGCCAGCCGTGGGCCTCTTTGGGGCTCGCCTGGAGACTCACTCGGAGACGTCTTGGAACTGTCTGGACGCCTCAAGAGCGAATCGGCAACGACAAGGCGAGAAGACCAGAAACCTCGCTTTTCCAATGGTTATCCTAAATTTGTCCGTCCTTAGGCCCCACTCTCCAGGCCCAGTTGCGCCAGTCTTGAAGCGGAATGAGGAAAAGGAGGGAAGAGCAGAAAGAGCATGAAGATGAAGAGGAGAAAGAAGGGGGAGGAACATGCGGAGGAAGAGCAAGAGGAGGAGGATGCCCTGCTTCATGCTACCCCAACCAGTCGCCTGAGACTTACTCGCGCCTCTGGGCACAGAAACGCCCTGAGCTGGCCAGAGCTGGCGTTGTCAAGTCGATCCCGCGTAGGAGATCCTGACCCACTCCGACTTGGCGGTGGCCGGCCCCACGCCCACGCGCGCGCCCGCCGCCCGCATTCGAACTCACAAGGAACAAGGTGCATGGCGCGAAACGCCAATGTAGTCTTGAGTCTTGTGTATATATGTATATATAGATACCTATACGTATATATGTATACATGTACATATGCATGTAAGCATAAATATGTGTATATATATAAATATAAATGTATCGGTGATGGGCCCCCGCTGGCGAAACTTCCGCGCGCTCCTGGGAGGGGATGGGCTATCAGGCCATCGGCGGCGACGAGTGGGCGATCGGGGGTCGATGCCCCCCCCCCCCCCCCTCTTGAGCCAATCCTTCGGCGGCAGCCCGCGGGAGCCTCCCATGCCATCGTGCTGCCTCTTGCGCCATTGCTGACCGACGCGACTAAAATCGACGCGAGTCGGCGCGAGCCAGCGCCAACTCGACGCGAATTCGACGCTCATGGATGCCAAATGGATGCCAATCGGCACGGAATCTGCGCTTTCCCACCGATTATACCAGACGCCGGCGCACGCTGCAGTGCACTCCAGAGCGGAGTTGCGAGGACACGCAAGGCTCCCATGATCTGCTACCGAACTGTCCCCCCCTGACGTGGTCGGCGATACATGGGCGATTGGGTTTGTGTTGCCCCCATCGAGCTTAAGGACCACATCGCAGAAATAATTTCGAGCACACGGAAACGTGTCGAATATCAGCCAGCGTTGACTCCAAACAGGTAGGAGGACAGGAGGAAGACGAGAGAAGGATGGGAGGAGGACGAAAGGAGGACGGGAGCAGGACGGGAGGAGGATGGGAGGAGCAATATCAAGCGCAAGCAAGCAAGCGGAAGCGAGCATAGGCATAGGCATAGGCATAGGCATAGGAATCAGGGGGGACGCATGGGCATAGGCATTCGGAATTAGAGGGGGGGCATATGAAGTAGGGGGGGCAACGGACCAATCAGTAGGGTTTGAGTTAGAACTCCTATAGGGCAAGCCTATTTGGAGAAAAAGCGTCGAAACAGTGTCGAACGAGTGTCTCCCAGGGCCCGACACATGAAAACCCTCGGGTTTCGGTACTTTCTTGATGCTCGAAATTCTTTCTGGCAGTCAAGGCTCAAGTAAGCTGCAACATCACAAGATTGGGTAGAGAAGTCACAAACTGGCGAAACATAAACTTTCGGAGGTCCGCGCGGCCTTCTTGGACGGGCGCTGGACCCCTCTCCCTGGCGCGCGGAGTGCGCCAAGGCGGCCCAGGTGCCGATCCAAGAGATCCGCGCGGACCCGAGAAAGGTCATGTCTGTGCCGTTGTTCTTCTTCGAAATTCAGCGTCGAGGCCCCCGGTCTGAGCC